CTCTTTGAACGATTCTTTGAGCTCCTTGTGAATGTAGAAGGTGATCTCGACATCATCTTTGGGTCGTCTGTTCCATGTCCCGTCCGGCTGTCGTGTTGGGTTAGGCTGAAACATCTTCACGAATCGTGGCTCGTCCAGGACCGTATGGAAGAATCGCGTTTGGCCAGGGAATCCGAAATGCGCCGAAGTCCAGTCGAAACTAAGGTTGTCACGCGAGATCAGCCACAGCATAGTGAATGAGCAATATATTCAGCGCTCACCGCCAGGTTGAATTCACCACCATGTGTCCCGGCCGCTGTATAAAATCCTGGGCAAGCTCTGCGTTGATGGCTTCCACAGCCCTCGTTGCATGTGCCGCATCAGCGGCGGCAGCGTAGCCAGGTTCTCGATAGCGTATGAGTGACTTGCGGACGCGGAGAGCGATAGTAAAGAGTGTCTCCTTGTCTAGGTCCTCCGCTGCGTCGCACATTGCCCATAGAAGACAGTTGCCTATACTGTACTTTGGTCGTGGTGGTATGCCGCGGCTCTAGAAAGACATCAGCACAGTTAGTGAAGTGAGAAGCTTTCGTGGCAAACCATTAAGATTGTGTATATATGCTGAATTGGCGGGTTCTCCGGGTCCGACTTTGACGTGCAGTAGGCCAGCAGTGCCTCCAGGGAGTCCTGCCTCGACAGTACGGGCGGGTTCGGATCTGTACACTGCGCCAGGATGCCTTTATGCAGCTCGGCAATTTGTGTCTCCGCAAGATGTATGTCCAAGCGCACTGCTTTCTTGCGCCCCGGCTCAAGTTGCGGCGGAACGCCACGCAGAGGGTAAAAGTACGTGAAGTCGGGAGTAGGGACTTCACCACAGTCAGCTGGGTTGGAGGGATAGGGAGAGACCGGGTTATAGGATGGCGGAGGATCCAAAGGTTCGAGACCTTGGTAGTTTTGAGACAGAAATCGTACAAACGAAAGCGCTACGAAACCGTCACCTGAAAACGGCCCGAATTGAGCTGTCAGAGGCACGTATGGACATACGAGAACTACGAACCGATTAAATGCGACGAAGACAAGCCGATAGAGGTGCTGCCTGTCCTCGTAAAGCGAATGATGGTCGCCTTAAGGAGGGGCTCGTCTGAGTCGTGGTCTAGATATTTGATATTATTGACTCCTCTTGTAAGCGTCCACGGGCTTTGTACAACGGTATTCGTTGGGACCTCTTTTTCCGCGTCGCTCTCGATTATAGTGACTGGCACGCCGTAATTTCCAAGGCTGACCTATTGCAGTGGAGTTGATAGCGATTTAGCCTCTGAATCACACAGAGTACGTCCCATATGCCATCATACCTTCCACGGATCCTTTGGGTCTGTTGGGCGTACAATACGACCAGCATGGACCGGATAAGCCTGTAGGGTTCTAGCAAGCGCATCATCAAATCGTCCGATATCGATAGCACCCGGCACGATGTGTGCAGTGTCGACCTTAGCAAGGTTCACAATATCTACGCTCAGTTCTTTAATCCAACGCAGGTCCTGAAGTGCTTCCTTACTTTGAAGCCTATTAAGAGGTCATCGGGAGATAAGCTGTAGTAAGACTGCCATTGGAGGATGGTCGGTTCCTTGGCTCTTACTATATGAGTCGCCATCCGTATGGAGAACGAGTAGGTGGTGTGTACTAATCTCCGCTCACATAGCGGTGTATTATACGGCGGCGACAGTGAGTCATCGCACGGCATCGATCAGAGATCAGATAGTCAACCCATCCATTGATAACAGCTTCTTGTCGCGCTGGCCGAGGTGCTGGCATTCTTCCCGGGTCGGAAGTCAGGCCACCCTGAGTGCAATATCCGTTCAGGAACGCGCATATCCATAGATAGTCCCATTACGTGTGATGCAGATACTAGAACGACAGCTATGGAAAGAGTGACGTGTAAGATGCAGTGAATGTACTGGCGTTGAATCGGACGTACAGCGAGCAGTAACAAACAGATTGAAAAGTCCGGTGTAGTATTATGCAGGCGAGAGCCGTCGTCGCTCCAGGATGAGTGCAGACATTATGATGTGATCGAAGAAAGGTTGTCCTGCAGGGAAAACTTTAAGTGTCGCAGCGGGAGCGGGACGGCCGTCCGCACGGGGGACGAGTGGTGGGGGTGTGAAGGATGCCAGGAGATGTGGCGAGTTCGAGATGGATTTGGTTCCCAAACAACACTATCAAGGCACGGATATTAGCTTCGACACGGCAAGCAGAATCATGCTGACATATTTGACGGGGTTATCAAATGCCCAGGATATGTGCTTGGATAAATCGCTCTCGAACTTCCACTGCCAAGTGCGCTAAATGAGGTGAGACGG